GACATGCGCCGGTGCACGTTTCGTCAACGGCGTCGGGGCCTCCTATCCAAACACCAAGTGTATTTTATTCGGCGGCGCTCCAACGACACTTGATTTTTTTACCAAACCAGAATTCTTGGGGAGATTAACTTGAAACAAACGTACAAAGTGCGTTTGTGAAAGGTTACTATCCCCGCGACCTTGAAGTTGGCTGCGTGCTACGATAAAAAATGAATCGTTAGACTCAATATGTGTATGCAATAGAAAAGAAAAGACGTGGCGGTGGATATCCGGATACGGAATGGATTTTCGGGCGGGTATCCGGACCGCACCTCGTTTTGTATTCGTTGAAGTCGTGAGTACTTGTTGGTTTTGAGAACTTCAGCTTGCTTGACGCGGCAGCCTCCGGCGTCCTTGAAGCAGCCGATCCGACTCTCGCGCGAACTTGGTGGCCTCGACTTGCAGCTCTGTCGTTGCGCCACGTACTAGAACCATTGCCCTGCCGCCGACGCACCTCGAAGACGCTCCACGGACCGCGACAGCCGCGGAGTCCGCCATACGATCCCGGCGCCCACCGTCGCCACAACTTCAACTCGCCCAACCCATGTTGAGTCTGCGCGCGGACCAGCCCAGCATGTCCTTGCCGATGCCATCGTCAACAGCAGCATCATCCGCAGCAGCAGCGTCGTCACCGACGCGGCCCTCCTTCGTGACCCTGCCCCGACCGCCGGTCGTCCGCAAGACAAAGCCGCCCCATTACCTTATGCACCCGCTCGACGAGATCCCGTCGTATGCTACCCACGCTTCGCATAGCGGCGTAGTGCTTGAACCCGAGAGCGTTGAAAAACCCCTTTACACAGCGTTGTCGACTGGCACCGAAGACGACCAGTCGACCGACGACACGACCCCCGACGACGATCGAGACACTACGTGGGGGCCGCGCGCGCGGCCCTTGGCCAAGAAGCGCCGCGCACTTCTCACACCCAAGGGGTCGGGCGACCGCAATGGGCCGCAGCGAACACCGCCGCCACGCGCCGCCGCCCAGCGCGCCGCGGCCAAGCCGCTCGTCGACCCGCTCAACGAGAAGCGGTCGACGAAGAGCAAGTGCCCACCGGGCCTCCGGTCTGGCAAGTGGACACCCGAGGAAGAAAAGTTCACCAACACCATGATCCATTACTTCCGGCTTGGGCTCCTCCACATCGAAGACGGCACGTCACTGCGGTGGTACCTTAGCAAGAAGCTCAACTGCGAAGCGATGCGCGTGACCAAGAAGCTCAAAGGCAACAGCTCGATCGGGAAGCAAATCTTCCGAGCGGTCGACTGCCCAAGTGTCACGGAAGAAGCCGTGCGCGAGGCCACCGAGACACTCCGTGTGCTCGAAGAAGAGTTCTTCGCATCACTCGCGTACAAGCCACCGCCGAATACTGCGGCCAAGGACGTCGCGCCGCCACCCGCAAACAGCAAGCGACCAAAGCGTGCCAAGCCCGCCCCGGCCCTCACACCCGAGCCACCTTTGCCGCTTGTCGAGAACGACGGGCCAAGCGAGCCGGCCAACCCCGAGGCCGAGCTCCTTTTGCATTTTTGCCTCTCGGCGCACCGCGGAGAGAAGCGGTCCGCAGACGACGCCGGCTTGGACGAAGACGACGACAATGAGGACGGCGACGAGTCGTGAGTAGGATCAGATAGCGTAAATAACACCTTTAACACCCACCAAATAGCATACAAAATGTGTCGGAGGCTGCAGCCGGCGGCGTGGCCAAGCCACTTGAGGCTCATGAGTGCGTTCTTGGAGGCTTTGGTTCACGCTTCGTCGTCGCGAAGGAAAAACAGCAAAAATCTCGTCGACCAAAAGCTTCGCGGAGGGTGCCAACGACGACCTCATAGGAAAGCCGAAAGGTTGCTCAAGGACCCACGCTTCGAGGCAGTCGAGCCACACATCAATGTCGTCATTAGAATATGCCAAGTCAACTCGGATTTGGCGTTGCTGGAGCGCTATTCGCATTCACGCGACTGCACGACGGTATGGGCGCCCCATGTCGGCGAGGTAGCGTTCCAGAGTTGCTGCCATCACCTTCGCTTCGCGCACATATTTCTGGTCATGCTCACTGGCCTCCAAAGCTCCCTCGGCCAGCGCTTGTGGATCACCCACGCGTCGCACCCCGTCTTGTTTCTCGGTAGCGTATTTGCGAGCGCCATGACGCAGCGTGCGATCGCTGCCCGCTCGGGCGCCGCCAACGGACACGGCGCTTCTGGGTGTCGCGCTGTGTCTCTCGACTACACGTTGTTGCAATACAGCATTGGTATTACAGTTGTAGTTGAACTGAGTTATGCCAACGCCTCACGGAGCGCGTGAATGTTCACAAGGTACGGCACGGGCGTCCCGTTCACTAAGAAGTGAATGCGCCGGTAGTTGGTCAGGTCGTGAAGATCTCTGTCGGTGTCAGCGCGGTCGTCGGCCGTGTTGTCGGTGTCGACGTGGGCAACTTGCCTAATGGTCACGGACGTGGGTAAGTTGACAAAGTCGGGCGTAACACTTGCGGGCAGTCGCGCGAATGACGTGGCAATGTACCGGGTCGTGCTGGGTCCTGGACCGTCTCCGCCAGTGCGTTCGACACCGTGTATCTATCGAGCGTACGCGTTGCAACGCAGTTCATCGAGTGCATCCTACTAGGTGTCATTGCCTCGGCGCGCTAGTTGATCGTCTGGTTCTGCTTGGACTTGGTTGCATAGACAAACAGCTCGAGCTTGTACGTCGCCGCCGCGGCGGAACGCCTCTCTTGGAGGCATTTCCACGCGGTCGTGAACTCGGCAATGAAGTTGCCCTCTTCAAGGCCGACGTAGTCGTTTTGCGCCTTCGAGACACCTGTCTTGAAGAAAATAAGGAGCAGGCTCGGTAGCTCCAACGTGATCTTGTCTCTGCGGTTGGCTTCAGTCGCGTCGTACGCGACCTTGATGCGGCTGGCTTCGAGAGCGATGGCTTCTTGGATGAGAGAAAAAGGCGCGCGCAAATCGACCACGATGGTGGCTTGGCCAGCCGTTGATCGCGACTTTGCGCGGTTGCCAAGCTTGATGGTTACAACAGCCTCCATGTTGGCGGGCAATGGGAGGATCGGGCGCGCTGGTTGTCGTGCCATCGTACCGGTAAGTTACTACCGGTAAGTTGCTACTCGATCATGCAACCAGCTCCGCACGCACCTGATTGGCTCTCGAATTCGTGTACGAGGTCGAATTACTGATGGTGTCGACTGAGCCTCATTGCAAAAAATAAGAATGCAAGCGCAGCAGGCAGAATTAAGCCGTCCCGATCTCGATGTACGAAATACACCAGATCGAATTAACTCCTGACCGACAAAAAGATATGGTGGACTTCCTCATGCGCTCGTGGAGCGAGGTCAAGCGAGAAGCGTTCGTGGTCGTCATTCGCGAGCGCGCTGCGGCAGCCACTGTGTGTCGACGCCGTGGCATCCTTCTCTCGCACGCACCATGTCATAAGCTCCAGGAAGTCGACGCAACCGAGGGCGCCCACGTCTCGTTTGGCCGTCTGTGGCTTTTTTGAACGAGCACAGCTTCAGGAGTCCGGGCTCATCATGGACCTCGTGCACCCGCTTCTTGATCTCGTTGAGATTGCTCTCGCACGTCATTCCGCGACGACATCGCGGTGCATGTGGCGCCCTCATCCGTGAGGTTCTAGCGGTCGGATACGGACGTTGTTGGCGCTCACAACGTGCAAGTCAATCGTTTTCCGAGACGACCCTTGGTGGGCTCGCACAATCCCGAGTCTCAAGAAGGATCGTTGGGATGCCTTTGCGCTTCGGCTACGGCGATGATGTCAAGGAGGTGTACGCAGGTATAAATGTACGTTTAGACTCTACTACTAGCACCACCTCAATGAAACGCAGAGGCATTCGGCGCTTGCGTGCCTGGCTAGGACCGTCCTCGCGCAAAACGCCAAATGCCAAGCGTCCGCTCGCCTTTGGCGGGTACGAGTACGCGGGCGTTGGCCGCGACAACCTCGCGGAGCCCCTCTCGTGCGAAGACAACGCAATCGTACAGACAGCGACCACTACGGTTCATGCATGAGAGACTTGTGAGCTCAATACGTGAGAGTCAATAAGGCTGCAAGGCTATGAGGCCGCCACGTCAGGAACGAATTTTAGCCAATGAAAAGCCCAACATTTCAACAAGTGCCGTCAAATGCCAAGCACAAATCATTTGCATGTCGGTTCATCGATGCGAGATGCTCTTCGGACGCTTCAGAGTTTTTCTGTTTCTTCAACAAATTGATTCAACGACCGGACGATGACCACCAACGCAGTGCAGACAAAGGCTACGACGTTGCTGCCGGCGTCGCCAGCGGCTTGGCCGACCACGCGAGGAGCCACTTGAGGTTCGTGAGCGCGTTCTTGGAGGCTTTGGTCCACGCTTCGTCGTCACGAAGGAAGAGCAGCGAAAAGTTGCCGACGTGCGATGCCGTAATCTACAAGCATCGTAAGGCGTCGCGAGGTCGCCTACGACTACCTTGTAGGGAAGTCGGAAGCTCGGGTCGCGCTCCAGGACCCACGCTTCGAGATGACTGAGGCAGTCGAGCCACGCGGCAATGCCAAGGTTGAAGAAGCTCTCGGGGAAGGCGTCTTGGTCCGACCCGTGCCTAACGGCCGCCCGCGATAAGCCTACATAAGAAACACGAGCGTCGTACAGGTGGTACTCCATCTCGGGGCGCTGCAGTCGAATCACTTTGGACGCGTTGCCGAGCGGCACGAGGCGGTATCTACGGTCGGGTTGGAGATGCGAGAGAAGAGGTGGTGACCTGTGAAAGGCAACGCCGAGAGTCTCGGCAATGTGCTGTAACAGTAGCGTCGCTTCGCCCCACGCCGCGTTGATTTCGTGCCAATCCGTGTGCTGCGCAAGCAGCCGGCCCATCGAGAAGCCGTTGATGGTCCCGAACGGTCCCTTGTGCCAAATGTAAAATGCATCGCTCGCAACGTTCATGCGCCGGATCGCTCGCGCGCGCTGCTCCATCGTGGCCACGCGCGCAATCTCCATGTCTCGATGCTCGCGCTGCGCCGCCAGTGCCCACATGCAGTCGTCAATTGACGCCCACACGGACATCTCGTCGTACTCGAGCTCCGCCATCTCGAGCTCGAGGCGCTCGAGGTCGGCTTCGATGCGCAGTCGCTCGTCGCGCATCGACTGCATGAGGCGGTCGTGCGGCGGGCGGCGCTGGACCGGCGGCGGCGACTTGGCCTTGGGCGTCGACGAGAGGAACAATGCTAGCACCCGCTTCTCGTACCGCGCGTTCTCGTTGTTCTTCTCGAGCATCGTTGTGAGTAGATGGAGGCAGTCGGTGCAGAACGCCGGCGACGCATACGAGGCCGTCGCGACGCCGTCCGCGACAACATGCAGGCGCTGGATCTTCTTGACGTGCGAGCTCACATCGGCGTGGCTCAAGGAGGCGTCACGCGTCGACATGGCCGGGTTCATTGCGCTCGCGTGGATGTTGACGTACGACTCGTCGAGGCTGGCGTTCGAGCCATGCTTGCAGCGGACGCAGTAGTCGCTCATGGATCGTTCTGCCACTGAGCCATGTGTTTTTCCGGGCGAAATTCGGACACATCCGAATCTCAACATTGAAATTCGGACCAAAGCGGGGTACGGGAATACCAGGGACATCGGGTCGAGGGGTACCGTCGATCTCCATCGCACCGTTCTACGTCCCAAACGCAGCGCGAAGAAAGGCTCGCAGGCACAGATCAGCGTCGATGCACGGCATGGGCCGTCGCGTGGCCCTAAGGTAGCGTGGGAATAGACAAGAGAGCCGGACCGATTTCGCGCATCATGATTGGCTTGATGCAGTCGCATTGGCCAATCCATAGCCAATCGAAACGCGTGAAAAGACTTGAAAGTCTAGTAAACGTCATTCTCAGACACGTCATGTCAAACGAAAAGGCGTTGTATGAGGCGGTGTTGACCGCGTCCAAAGACGCAGCGGTCGACGCGCTTCGCCAGATTGCGCAGGCGCCGCTGCTCTACAAGGCGCGCGTGGCGTATGCCGTGGCGAGCCCTGCGGCATTGGATGCCATGGCCGACGCGCTCGCCGACGCACTCGTCGCGACAGGCGCGTTCGATGTAGCGCTTGTTGAGTTTGCGACCACCAAGCGTGTCGCTGCGAAGAACGAACCGAGCACGACCGCCTACGTCAACTGTATCGCCAAGTGCACGCCCTACGACGCCTGCTGCATCCCCATCGACGTTGCGAGTGGCCTCGTCGGTATGGGCGCCGACATCTTTCTCTCAAACACCAAAGACGTTAGCTCGGCGAATTTTGAGGCTCCTTGCGCCGCGCTGGTCTTTTGGCTCAAGCCGCACCGCGCCGGCATTGTGGGCATCGATGTCGTCTTGCCGCTGCTGGACGCTGCTTGCCTCGGTCTCGACAGCCACCGCGACTGCATGCTCGGTGCCATGGCCATCTTCCGGCCGCACACAGCGTACGTTGCCAAGTATGACATGCCGCCGTTCCACAATGCGGGCGGCGAGCGCCAGGCCGGCCGGCCCACCGCGGGGTTTTTGACCCGCTTCAGTGCGGCGCTTCTTCACCTGGCCGATCTCGATCTCGTCGTGCTTTGCCTCCGCGACGTCGTCTCGGTGACCATCGACACGGAGCTCCCGGAGGTTGCAACGTTCGTGCATGCGTGCTTGACCAAGCACGGCTGGGTGGCGCTTGTCGCGGCCGTCGACGGGCTCATCCAGCGGTGGTGCGCTGACGGTAAGACCGGCGCGGTACTGCATTTGCTATCGAGCCTCGCCGGTGTCACGACCGACGACGCCGTGTGTCCGCCGCTGCAGCAAATGGGTGTCGGCGAGTTTGTTCGCGCGAGCTATGCGATGGCGCAGCGGCAGCGCCGAACCGATATCTTGTACACGCACGGCGAAGACCCGGCGCTCCAGACGTATTGCTTGACGCACATCGTCTTGCTCGACTGGTACATCAACGAATTGGCACCGCACCGTCCAGACAGCTACTGGTACAGTGAGCGCCTGCCACTCGTGCTCGCGGCCCACGTCGACAGCTTCGTCCACCCCGGCTCTAACAGCTTTCCCAACCACCTACCGCCGATGACGTGGCTCCTGGGTGTGCCGACCGCGATCGTCAAGGCGTTGGCGAGCCAGCCGGCGCTGCAAGTCGGCACGTTTGTGGACACGGTGCTTTCAGTGATGTGTACGGTCAAGGCAAACCGGAAGGTCATTCATGATTGGGAGTGGACCCTCTTCTCCGGCGACACTTTGTGCGATCTCTTGCTTCTCGCAGATCACGTCGGTCGCGTAGACCCGACGCTGCTTGAGAACTGCTTCTCGATCTGGGGCGTCACGGCGCTTCTGGGTGTCGCGTCGTTCCTGCGAAAGCATCCGTGTCCGTTGGCAGCGCCCGAGCGGGCAGCGATCGCACGCTGCGTCATGGTGCTCGCAAATACGCTACCGAAAAACAAGACGGGGTGCGAGGCCGAAGTCGAGCAGATGTACTTTACATCCCCAGTGCACCCGACGCTGGAGGCGATGGACCTTCTGATGGTCACGGAGCCCGAGACGTTCAAGTCGTTTTTTTCAACGTGGTACCAAGCGTTGGAGCTGTGCCCACGGACGAACCGCCTCTTGTTCTTTCCCGTCCTCGACAAGCTGCACTCAATGGGCTACCGCGCCAAGATTGCGCTGCTGCTCGAGGACTCAATCAAGATGTGCGTCAACGCGAGGCCCATCGACTTGGCAATTCGCGATGTTGCGATGGACGCGACGCACTGCTACGAATGCCGGCTCTTTGATCGGTTTTTGAGGGACAGTGACAAATTCTCGTTCCCCCTGCACGGCGACATGTGCGCGCAAGTGGAAGGCGTGACAAGTCGCCACGCCGATGAGCTGGCCCACGATCTTAACAGAGACGCGAGGGTGATCCGCAAGCGCTGTCCAACGGATCGCGATGAGTTCTGGTGGATCAATTTCATGCACACCCAGCAAATGGCGCGCGAAGACAAGGCGATGGCAGCAACTCTGGAACGCTACCTCGCCGACATGGGGCGCCCGTACCGTCGTCGTCGTCCTTGTCGTCCATCGGGGCGGTTTGCTCGTCCGTCTCCGTCTGCTTGACGAGCTCGACGGAGCCGTCATCTATGCAGCCGCGTGAATGCAAATGCCGCGTTCCCGCCAGATCCGAGTCCTAGCGTAAATATCTTAATGACGATATTGTCCATATTGAAATTCCGTGGAGCGACGTAGACACTGCTAGTATACTAGTATTCGATCGCGAGGCACCCAAGCACCAAGTTGGTGCGTTGACAAAGGCGGAGTCCCTGGCGAGTCCGGAACGATCGCGTCTTTCGCGCCGACCTACCGCTGCCAAGTCCATGGACGATTGCCGTCAAGGCGGCACGCGTCGCTCAACTGCACTTGCACCACAGCCTCGTACAAGAGCCCGAACAGCCTGCTCTTCGTCGGCTTCTCCGGCTCCTCGCCCAACACGACGTGGCCGCGACCGTCACCTCGTCCCGCGGATTGCCG